GATATAAAATTTTATTTTTGTTTATTAAAATTTGCCTTTAAATTTAAATTACAAGATGACATTCCTCAAGATTTCCTTTCAATTAGTAGTTTGAAGAAAGAAACTCATTTAATACTAATAAAAATAAAAAATTAAAAAAAAATTAAAAAAATGAAAGAAGAAAAATAAAATAAATTCACACTTCAAATTAAGCTATCATATAAATAAATATTTTCATACACAATAGATTGAGTGCTAAAAATCAACATCAAGTATGCAATCTAAACCAAATAAGAATGCTTAAGAAATATACTGTCAAAAAAAGATGATAAATCTTAACACAACTTAGTCGAACTATCTTTCATACCACAAAGGTAGAATCAAAGAGTATAAGTATGTAGAAAAAATCCTAAAAATTTACTAAGTGGTGAAATTGCTATAGCTAAGAATTGTTTTATAAACATAAGTTTTTTCTTTCAAAATTGCTCACAAGACAATCTAACAAGAATGTCAAGTCAAGGAAGTTTTTCTATCTAAATCCTCAAACTCTAGGGGATACTAACAAGGTTAAATAGTACAAAATATTAAATATATGGAAATCCACTAAATTAATCTAAAGTACAATTATCCAATGTGATTTGGCATCTAATACTACATCACATGATAGTTATTGTGTAAATAAAGATTGTTCTACACAACATATTAAGTGCTAATAATCAACATCTAATATGCAATCTAAACTAAATAAGAATGTTCAAGCAATGTACTTTCAAGTGCCTTCTTAACTTATGAAGAAACCCACCAATCGACTAAATTAATAATTCACATATAATTGGAGATGAATGCCACAATGATATTATTACAAAAACTGTATATAAGTAAGTCAATGTTATAATAGCTAGACCACAAAAATATATGGCAAATCTGAAAGAAGAAGTTTTCAACTCTTATCATCATGTGAAATATGGTTGTAAAACTTCCTACAATAACAAGAAATCCAATTTCTTAAAAGAAGCGACAAAAGTGGTGGTGTTAAGCATGCCATATGTCTCCCATGTTGGTATTGATCACATAATAGCATGATAGCACTCTATTTCTTTTCACTACATATAATCAAAAGAAGCCATCTAACATAAATATTAGTTGAGGATGTATAGATTTATTAATAAGAAGATAATAAGGAATACAATCCTTTGAATGCTTTTGATATTCTTATCCGATTTTGTCTTCAAGTAATAAAATATCATTGGACAACACATCCTTTAGACAAAAAAGTATTAATCTTATTTTGATATTAAGTGTTGTAGGTATCTTATATTATAAATATACATGCTTTTCTTTAAAATATCTTTGTAATTGAGGTTGATAAGTTCTAATACAAATACAAACATATTGAAAAATATAATGATATTGAGTAATAGATAAATTCTTTATGGCCATAAAAATAGTAATTTTAAAGAACCATGCTTAAACATATAGACATTGAGTCTAAATATTATGGTCATCTAAGTCTATAACTAAAGCCGAATTCTCATATATCAAGCTAGGTAGAATTGGCTTCAGCTCATACAATAATTAATAAGGACTATAGGATTCCAAAGATACCTATTTTCTAAAGAAATATTCTGCAGTAATCTATAGTAATATTAAATCTTAATCATGATAGTTGCTAAGAAATAATCCATACTTTTACAAAATATTCTTGACAATCTAAAGAACTTTTTCAACTAAGCCATTTGCCTTAGAATGATTTTTAGAGGTGGTACATTGATCTATCAAAATTTTAGTATACAAAGCCTCAAAAACTCCAAAGAATTCCTCTACAAGTAATAAGGTTATATCAAAAGAAAAAATATAATTAAATTAAGAAAAGCTTTAATAAAGTGTTTAAACTCGATATGACTTAATTACATACTTTATATTCAAAAATATGTGTGACAATTTGTTGATACATGTCAATCCACCAATATTGATTACACTATATAGAATATGTCTTATGTACCTCAAAATATCAAAGCTCCTAATGTACTTGCCACATCAAAGAAGATCTCTAATCTTGTCTTAGAACTATGTACCTAGTTCCATCAAATGACATACAAAAGAACAAATAATTCTTCTAATGAAACTTTACTACTTGTCATGGAGATATATAGTTATTCAAAGAATTATCTCAATAATATGAATAGATAGCAATAGATAAAAGTAGATAAATTTGATAATATCTTGTAGAAAAGCTTCATAGTTGCTGCTTTGTCTTTATAAGTATCTATAGGTGATTGGTAGATTAAAAAACTTTGTTAACAAGCTGGCGATGTATTGTATATGTTGGTAACTTATGGTATAAGTTAGCTATGTAAGGTATATGTATAAAACTTATTTTACAAGTTAGACATATATCTTCTAAGTTGAGCATGTATTGGAGGTTCTATGGAATGTTACTATGTTGCTCATAACTAGATAGTATATATAGAGGCAAGAGTGAAGCTTAATTCATTCTTATTAATTTTTTTCTTGCTTTTATTCTAGTTTTAAGAGTTTTTAATTTCCTAGTCTTTAATAATAGCCATTCAAGTTTTTTCTTAAATATATATATATACTTTTTTATTTATTTTTTATTGTCATCTTTCTTTGAAAAATGAATAAATAATTTATTTTTATTCTTCAAGTTCTTATCATTGACACTACTTAGTGATTAATCCTATATTATTCCTTAGTAGTTGAAGAAAATGTCCCTTGTTGAAGCTTGTGTAAAATTGTAAGATCCTTCTACTCATTGTTAATCACTTGGGTTCTATTAAATTTTTCATTTGAATATTAATCAAGCACCATAAATATAGAGTATTAAATTAAAGTAAGATATATTATTGCATGCCATCATGGAATTGCTTTTCTATTGCAATCTCTATGCTATCTACCTTTGATCAAATTCTCTTTTAAAAGAATTGGGTTATGAAAAAGTCTCTCTTTATCCAAATTGATAATACTTGTGTGATTCACATTTTCAAAGTCATACTCTTAAAGCAACAAAGTCCATCTAGCAAGCCTCCCAATAAATTTATTTGATTCTATAGACTACTCCAAAGATTAATGGTCAATCACCAATATAAACTATTATTTATACAAATAAGGTTCTAAATGAGCAATGGCCCAAATTACTGCCAAAACTTCTTTCTTATAAGATGAATAGTTAGACTTTCCATTGTTATTATATCTAGAAGCAAATGCAATGTTATATTCTTATTTTATATTATTCTTCTATATCAAGAATACTTCCAATACTGTAAAGCTTTAGTCTTTGTATGATTGAAAAGATCTAGTAGCATCTAGATATCAAAGTATTAGAATTAAACTTAATTTTTGCTTCAATGTCTCAAATGTGTCTTGCTACTCATGTTTCTAAGTCCATAGTTAATCTTTACTTGTAAAAATAGTTAAAGGCTTGGTAATCAAACTAAGGTTCTTGAAAAATTAATAGTAGTAATTTTGCTAAGCTTAAAAGGGCTCAAGGCCATAAAACATCAATTATTGTGAAGAACTTTTGCAAAGCATCTACCTTTGATTTCTAAACACCAAGATCTCTTGGAATAATCATGTGATTCAAGTATGGAAATTTTTATAGAAGAATTTAGACTTATTGTGATATAAGTGTAATCTACATTGTTATAATTACTCAAACATTGCTAGCAAAAACCTCATATAATCTTATAGATTGCTACTAAAAATGATAACATCATTATTGCAATATTTAACAAATAATAAGTTAGCCAACACATTATCCATCTAACTATCCATCAATTCATACATTCTAAAACTTAGTTAATACATCCTTGAGGTGAAATAGAAGAAATTTCTAATGATAGGGTTAATCCTTGTCATATTGAACAACTCTCCAAAATGTTATTACCACTTGATCTTCAACAAGTAATGACAACAAGTGAACCAAATTGCAAGTTCAAAGTGTTGAATATTTAGAGAGAATCTTTTACATCAAATAACTTCTCAAGCACTGGTGGTAATACTATTCCAACTTGGTTTTTAATTTTCTTGACAATTATTTCCAAACATCCACTTCTTTATCCAATTTCTAAAAACATCTTAAAATAGAAGCATCATAAAATCTTTTTATATATGTTCTCATGGAATTTATAAAAAGCCAAATATTTTTTTCATGTAAATAATATTAAATTAAATAAAAAGAGGATTAATTTATCTACTTTATTTGCCACATTTGGTAAGCATTTATTAGAATCCAAATGATAGTTTTAATATTAGACTAAAAGTAAATCACAAAATTGCAACAAACGTTTATTGTATGAAACACCTCAAAACTAATATTTTCTAGCAAATGATGCAAAAGTCTTTTTAATGAATAGAAAATGTTTGTAAATTATTTGTAAAAGTGGTAGTTTATTGCAATCCATTATAATTAGTTGTAATTTACATAAAGTTGCTATTGCTTAATCAACATGTGTATCAAAGCACAGTACAGCACATAAATTTGAGCTATGATACCACATAAACTTTTCATCAAAAAGACCTGTTTTTGTTTGTTATTTATTTATTTTTAATTATGCAATATTATAAGTATAAAAAACTAATGTACACCATGTACATGACATTCAACAACCAATTCATTGTTTCATATTATCAAAATTTTATAATAATACAAGAATTGTGCCGTTTGTTTTTATTTGAGAAAATGCAGAGCACATGCATGTGGGGTTAATTGAAACTAGTTATTTTCGAAGGTTTTGGCAAAATCTATATTGTGCGGAGAGAGAAAGAGAGAAAAATTAATGGACAGAATTGTAGCTTAACATGTTTAGAATGTTGCATGTTTACAATTTCCCACCTTTTAAAAAGTAGTAATTATATAGTAACACAACAATCTCGTATGCTGAAGCAGTTGTGCACATCACATTCCACCTTCTGAAGAGAAAACGCATTTTTGTTGAGTAAAAAACTGTGTTCTACTCTGGTAGTCCAGAGAGAAGTAGAGCTTTTCAGCTGTGCACTAAGAATAGTTGCATACTGCCATGGTTTGTAGCATACCTTCAAAATATTTCAGAGGCCATTATACACACCAGAGCAATCCTATCACAATGTACTACAGAGTGTCTTTTTTTCTTTTCCTTTTTCCGTAGACATTTTGTCACTACAAGCAAAATACCAGATTCTAAGCTCTAGGTCGACTTAATCAACGAAAACGCAGTGTTTCAGACTTTCCGAACGTGAAGCAGATTCTACCCCTCCCTCAAAAGGTGTGAAGAGCACATATGTAAACAAAATAGCCAGCATTTTTTTGCCTCTAAATATCTGAAGGGCATCTTATTTACAGCCCTGTCGAATAAAATACATTATTTTTACTAGATTTTTTTAAAACTACACGGGCCTGCTACCATTATAGTGTACAACACTAGGACATAAGTCGCAATTCGTCTGATAATGAATCAGAGGTCAAAGCTAACAGAATGGTAACTGAAAGCCACGTTGTAGGGATTGTAATCTACCGTGTTGAAGCTACGGCATGTCTCAGCAACGCTCGTCTGCAGGCTCTCCGGGCCACATATTAACACCCCTACGTTTGTGCCAGGGCGTTGGCGCTTCGCACAACCTTGGAAAAGCTCTGTAACAAGCAACATAGCCAACACACAGGGTATTCAGAAAATAGAAAATTCAACATCAGAGAGTACTCAAACCTTTGCTCTCACGGGGTATCAACGAAGCAGTAAAGAGATCAAAACGTGGACTTAAAACAAATGAGTATTCTTTATTTACCTCTGAGGTTGGGCCTATGACCAAACGTTGTATTGTCAGGGTGCACCAGCCGATCCCCACCCTCATCAGCAAGTGTTGAGCTGTTGTCGTCTGAATCCGACAACAGATGAGAACCGTCGTCATCCTCAACAGGACTTGATCTTCTACCACCAAAATAGTTCCATAACGAAATCACAGCACCTCCGAAGACCACAACTCCAAGGATCATATTCACGAAGTTGAGGAGGCCCCTGATCCACAGTGGCACACCTGTTCCAATCTCTGAACCTGGAGCTTCAAGGCCTTTCTTTTGGTTTGGCCGCAATACATACAGGTCGACTAAAACCGTGGCAAGGAGGTAACCAAGCAATGAAGCAAGCAAACTTGCACTAATCCAGAAGTTGCTTCCAGTGCTTACTAGTATGGACATGGGGCTCTTGGAAGCCTCTACACTGGTCAGACTAGAAAGAATCTGAGATTCTTTGAATCGATACTTCTGTTGCGGATCGGATGTTTCAGAGTTCTCCAGAGTTGCAGGCCCTTCTTCACGAGTGACAAAGGCATGGACATGGAGGTTAAACTTCTGATTGTAATCTGGGCATATTTTTGATGCAGGAACCAAATCGAGCAACTGAAGTTCCTCTGATTTCTGTACTGCCCAAATTAGGGTCACGTCGGATGGGAGGTTGGATTGTTCTCTTTGGTAGCGATGAAGTAAGTCGCGAAGGATAGCCACGAAGGGAGAGACACCGATTCCTCCCGCCACAAGAATTAGCGCATCGTAGCTGCAGAGAACAATCCTCACAGCCATCAGGAAATTTAATAGCTGGCACAAAATTATGTATCAAGTTCAGCATTTAATGCATCACTAAGCCAAGGGGATCGTTACATACCTGCATTGACGTATCCACATTATGTAAATACTATGACACTGTTCTAGGGCAACAAATGTCAACTTACTGAAGAAAGTAGTCCGATTCGTGGCCATAAGGGCCTTCAACAGCAGCTTTGATGTCGAATGGGCAGTGTCCTGATTTCACAGCAGCGATGACCTCATCCTGCAGCTGACGTGTCCACTCTCCGTAGGGCTTGATCAGCACTTTTAGCCTATCATCTCCGTCGTATGGACTCGAAGAAACGCTGAAGGGGTGCCATTGGAGTACAGAGATTTGACGGACATTGAGAAATATGAAACTCAGTGCGTAGTACTTCATGCCTATGGAGAGTAAAGTCAAAGTTTAATTTCTAACGCTTCAATCTCAACAGATTATAGATAAATCATGGTAACCTTTAAAGTGGTGTCTGTATGCAAAGAGACCAGTGAACAAAGTAAAAACTAGAGTATTATCAAGGGTGGTAACCTGATGGTTTCGCAATGACCAATTCATAAGTTCCACACGGCAACAACTTTGTGGAAATAATCCCCGTGCTTCTTTGCGACTGGCAAAAGCGCAGGAATCGATCGAAGGTAAAGAGGAAAAGCCCGCTGAAAGCAAAGTTGGAGATGAAGTCGCTGACATGGAAGGCCATGAATAGCACAAAGATAATGTACAGCTGATGGGTGTAGAAGAAGAGCTCAAAATACTTATTTCGTACCCACCCAAACGATGTTACCCACATTGCAATGCCAGCCATTAACGATATCACTCCTGGAAGATTTGCGAGCGCATGAGGATCCCATTCCAAAAGCTACAAGAAGATGCCACAAGACTCGGTTTAATACAAGGCTCTTAATATTTACAAGTTTGACTTCACTACTACTAGAAAATATTAATCAATGATCGGACTAATGTGGAGCAGCCACAGCCATCATCTTACACAAAAGATACAATCTTAGAGTAAGATGAATAACTAACCTTTGCAATGAGATGGCCTTCGAGGTACCAACCAACCGCGTAGAACACACCATGTAGAGTGAACACGGCCATCATGAAGTGACCCAACCACACATGGTACTTGGTTGCATGTTCAAATGGGATGTCTATAGCTCGGAGCATAACAGATCCACGTGCCACTGGCAGAAAGAGCAAATTCAAGCACACAATGCCAATGAAACCCAGACGCAGACCAATGAACTTTATTTTATTTCCCCACCTGAATGGCGAACATACCCTGCGTTAATACGTCCGCGATACGACGCAGCAATAATGCAATATTCAGACAGAAAAGTACAGTCAAACACATTGAATTTAGTTTAATATCCCAAGAGAGAAGGTTGCATTTACCTAGGCAGGAGGTATAAGAAGAGTTGAGATACAAAAAATTAAAAAATTAAAAATGAATAAACTAGGTCCTATCGTGCTTACACTGATTCATAAGGCTTCAACTTTTCAGTCTCTGCCCTTTTGAAGTCCGGAACCAAGTAATTTGCCATGATCCACAGACACATGGCCAGAAAGAAAACTATCCACAGCAGCTCTGCAGCAGAGACCATGCCCATTAAACCTTCCGTGATCACTGGTTGCGCTTTTAGAGGAGCTCGTCCTCTCGCCTTCTTCCTGCATCCATAATAGCAAGGTCCAGGCATCACAATCAGCATATGAAAAACAGTATTGTGGGTCATGTGCAGCTGTTGTTCCTGCGATCATTATAAATCGGGCGGACACATGCTTGCACAAAGAAAATAGGTTTTTTTGGTGGTGGATGGGAACCACAGAGGTTCATAACATTGACACACTTAAGTGAATGTTTCACTCTGAAGAGAGCCTTGGTATACCAAACAATAATGAGCAAATGACGCGCCTCTTGCTTCTTGGCTGATTATCAATAAAACCAATTCATTATGCGGCTAACCCTGGACATGGGCATATGTTGTACAAGTTCACGAAAACAACTGTTTATAAGATCTTCCTCTCAAGAATCAATCCTGCATTGTAAGAGAAAAGATTGTGCTTACTTGGAGACTGGACTGTGCGACGAGACCTCCAGGCTTGCTATCGAAAACACCGTAAGGAGAAGGAACGGCGCACCAAAAAATATCAAAATTGTTCCTGCAAACCAACAAGTCGACGTGGCATGCGAAATCGATGAACGACCAGTAAATCGAAATGTTGCGGTCAATTTTGAACCTCAGTTGAGTCCTACGAAGAGAAAGAATTTGAAATCTACACACTCACAAGCAGAGCAAAGTGTAGACCACCCACCATTAAGCCCAATCTTCTCCACCGTCGCAAACAACAGCACCGTCCTGATCCTTTCCAACGAATTCACAGGCCATGCGACGTAAAACGCCAGATAAATGCCGAGCGCCACGCACATGGAGAGCCAGATTGCCCACCTCAGCGCAGTCGTCGCCAGGCTCCTTTCATAAGTGGCAGTCCTGTTGGCCAATTCCTTTCTGGGCAGGAGCTCGGCAGACAATTCACCATCCGAGGTCGCCATTTTTCGCTGGAATGAGAAGCCAGCAAACTCAACGCCAATCACGAGACAAGAGGTCTGGGCTGTCGGGAGACATCGAACTGAAACCCGAGCACTCGCAACCGGGGATCAGGGGCTTCTCCACGGGGTTGCAATGAAAAATTCGTCCACCTACATGATGAGCATCCAAGTTCGGAGAGGTGGGTATAACGAGACCAAGCCCAAGCCACCAATACAAGTTTTGCTAAACTCCTGCAACTTCCGCGTGGGCGCAGTTCATACACCACCACCTTTGTCCGTCCTTATTTTGAGAGACGAGACGTGACGAGACAGGCTCGCATGAATGCGAGTGCAAAACGCATGATGGCATGCACTTAGTCACCTGAGGAGGGTCTCCTTCGTCCACAGCAGAGCGGCGACCACTCAGCTACAGTATGCAGAGGAGGAAATCGTCACGGTCCAGATGATTCCGCCGCATTGCGTCGAACGGGGCGCTTTATCATCGTTGTCGTCTTCTACTGCCTTTTCGTGCCTGACTGCCGGCTTCCGATTGCTGTGATTAATAGGAGTGATAAAAAGGCAATGGATGCGTGATGCCAGGAGGCATTCTTGTGGCCACTGCTTTTGAATTCCTCACACTTCTCCCCTCTTCCCCTTTCCCTTTCTCTTCGCTTTACTTTCTTCCTTTATTGCATGTTTTTTTCGCAACTGGGTGCCCGCCCACTGTGTACCAAAAGCGGTGTTCCAAAATTGGTCAGATTCTTGGACAATCTACGCAGTTCGATTCCCCTTCAGAAGAGTGTCTCTGCTTTCGTTATACCATTTTATACTTTTATCTAGCATTTTTCTAGTTTCATGATATTTGTGTCTCTAGAAGCGCGGGCTGCAAAAAAAATTAGTTTTTTCATCTGGCATTGGCAATGGTAGTTGGAAAAAAAGTTTCTAATTCTTTTTGGAGTAATGAATTCCTTCTCTTTTTGAGGAGAAATTAAGTGTGTTATTTTTTTTTGTTTTTTTCAATAAATTTGTATGTTATTGTGTTCACATTGTTCGGAACATTCTTTGAGCATTTTTCTTTCATCTATTTTCTTCCTTTGATGTCTCCTGTTATTGTCTTGCTTATCGACAAATGCTCGCTTTGGATAACACAATTTCTATTGACATACCTTTTGGTTATATTTTCTTATTATACATTTCAGTTGTTCAAGAGAAAATATATGTGTTAACATGCACTTTTTAAATTACTGATATGTTATTCTTGTATAATGCATATTCAATTACATCATAAAAATGACAGTGTATTTATTGGAGAAATGATTTATTTCCTGACGAGAGATCTCCAAATACAAAAAATAAAAACATTTAAGGATTCTTTATCAACCACATTAGGGTCAAAACGGGTTCAAAGAATATGATCAAATTAAATAATTAAACATTACAGTTTACTTATTTTTAAGAAAATCTTGTTCAAGATTTAATGTACTACACTCAAACCTTTCCAGATTTGGAAATCAAACTTTCAACCTACCAAAATAAGCTGGTTGGATGACATAGTAATTAACCTAATTCATGCTTTAAGAGAGCCAAGTATTGTAAGCAGCGTGGAGTTTCTTCAACCCCACATATTAATATAACATTGCACAAGCAAAGTAAGCAATGTAAACGCTTCTATCAAAGGAATGTGATCAATTTTGTAACAAATATCAATGTTCATGATTTCAATCACTTCAAAAGAAGTTTTCACATAACTAAACAGTCATTTTTCAACTGATACGGTTGATTATGATGCAAAAACAGAGAATACGGAACAATGAGAATTTGGAATAACTGTTCCTACTTCACCTTCTGAATTTAAGAACCGAAACTTGGATTTATCGCAGATTTTCAAATCATTTTCTACCTGCTTTCAATAACAGTTTCAAGCCGTAGTAGAAAAACTTGTGTGTCCTTCCCTGGCAAGCTCATTGAAACTTGCCAGGGAAGAAGGGAAACCTTGCAACGCACTTGTCTACGAACGCGTAGACGTTACAAAATCCCCCCCTAATGCTTTTTGAATTATAGCGCAACTGACCATTTAGGTTCCGTACCGTCCGACATGAGACAAGTTTCAACATAACTACCAATAACATGTCCACTTTTAAGCATGGGTAATCGAAGGAATATAACACCAACACAGTTATAAAAATTAAAAAGATACTACGAGAAAGGTGCACTGTGCAAAGATACCATTCTTAATCACTCAAGCAAATAAATACCTGGTAACTCAATTCACGATTAAATTTTGCTGGACTACAGGAAGTAAGACCACTCGTAGCTCAGCTTTCAGGTTCTCTTCGTATATGATAAACAGCCAAAGGCTGATGCTCGGTACCCATCCTAAATTCTCATAGCGATGATTTGCTATTCTCCACTACCAAAATTCCGGAATAAATACTAATAAACAACAGAAAGGCATCACCTTTTTAGATGAAGTGTGTATAATGACCAAAAAGTAGAGACGACAGCGTACGCCCAGACCGACTGCATCACATGTCGGTGCTTGACCTCTTGCAAAGATCGATTAAAAAGGAGTCTGGCACAGAGGACATGTTGATTTGTGGGAGGTGGAAAACCACTTGTACAGGCAGGCTGAATGAAATTTATGTTTACAAGTCTTGCAGGCCAGTCGAGGAAGAGAGTGGTTGGTGGTGTGGATGATAGAATAGCAGATTGCACATTCTTCCACACCTTCAAACTCACGGTCAACATTCTTCTTCCACATTTGAATAGCCTCCAACATTGCTCCATTCTGTCATGCGCCGATAGAAGGATTACAGGGATTAGAGAGTAAACCAAAGACTCGGCCAAAAATCAACACCTACTTAAAGCGTGGCACGCAGATCCTTCCACATCAAACTAGCTATAAGGACCAACTAATGAATCGTGGGCAGAATCCACAAGTTAAGCATGCCCGAGCACCAGGATATCAAGAACAGTGAATGTAGATAACTCAGGAATTGGAAAGGTCATATTTAAGTACCTGGTTTCGGAGAAAGGCTGCCATAGAGAGTATCCATTTCCGAAGAAGGGTTTCACTGATCCCTAGACGTCTAGTGCAATCCACTTCTACAGCACGCAACGGGTAGCAGGACGGTAGTCGTATCACAATGTCAAGGCATGCCTCTTCCTTCTTATAGACAGCAATGACTTCACGAAGAGTACGATTTGCACGAATGGAAAGAGTGTCGTCTGGTACCACTGACGCTTGGAGCTGTGCAGATTAAAGAGCAATTACTTAGCCGCACTTTCAATTGCTGTCAAAGTGTCTAGTTCTACTGAGCTGATAGATAAATAGAAGCAACGGCAGTGTCATGTCTAGACCACAAGCACAGGAAACTGTTATTGTTACATCTTTCGGCGAAAGATCTAAAATTTCACAATACCTGCAAAAACTCGTCAGCTAAGAGTTGCGTGCTGCAGTTGCTGGAAGTGAAATTCTCAATAGCCGACGCGGTAGATCTGTCACGCAAACCAGTGAACCATATGCGCACGCATGCTGGTAAAACTCGAATTAACAGACCATAAATTGCCCCAGCAAGGATTACTAAGCTCTCTTCCTTTACTGGCCACAAATTTTCGACGGCAAAGCTCACAGTTCCACTTGATACTGCCCGTGTTGCTGAAGTGGCGGCTATGCTTACTTTGGCACCAGCTGGTGCTGTTCGTCTTCTTGAAGTAGATGTGCCTGCATGCAGATTGAGGTTCAGTAGCGATAACATATAAACACGTAAAAATATAAAAAAAATAAAAAATTGCGAGAACATTACTGGGGAAACTCAGAAATACAACAGCTCCGAAAGTCTTTCCACCAGCTTGTAATGTCAAACCTGAGGTGAGATCAAGAGCGATATGTTGAAACAGGCAGTCCAGAAGCGTAGGAGATAAGTCCGAATCCCGTACAAAATTTAGCAGCCTCTCCCTAGTTGGGGAAAGTGGCGATAATGAATGCAAACGCATCAATAAAAGCGACCAACCCAAAAGATAATGTAGCTGCACGAACGTATAGCAAACTGCAATGTAAATTCCATGATTTAAAACCCATAGTGAACTACTAAAAGATCCTGTCACAGAAATATCCAGTAATGTAACCTAAAAACACATGTGGTTCGACAGAATTTCTCAAGAAAAAGCCCTCCAAAAATTTCCTAGGAAAGGGCTGGAAAAAAAAGTTGCATAGGCTGCGTACACGAAGGTCTGATGTGAAAGAGCTCTGAAGTAGAAGTCGTGCAGGAGTTTCCAACAACTTGACGAGCTCTGGCCGAAGTGTGGCAGCAGTTGTAAGGGCAGCTTCTCCCTTTGCAGCCTCCTGCTCAGCACCTTCTCCAACTTCTCCTTGGTTTTGAGAAATGCCACCCCATGTCACAGCCAAATGTTGGATAGGTACAGTTGATAGAAACTGAAATGCAACCCATTGCAAAGCACCACTTGAGTTGGGTGACAATAAGAGAGCATAAAGTGCACTAATCGATCCCTTTCCAACTCCCCACAAGTCAGCTGCTCGAGCGGCAGCTTCTCGAGCTCTACTCGAAGCTCCCAGCGCAACTGTAGCAAGGCTCTCCCACAAGGATGACTCCGCCATCCGGTGCTTTGAAATGGTATTTGCAGCATCACCACCAGCATTGAATTCCAATGCTGCTGCCTCAGAAAGACCTGTAGCCAACAGGATTCGAAGAACAGATTCCATCATATGATCTTCCACTGCCACCCAGTTGGACAACCGTAAAGTACCAAGGGCCCTCAAAGCGGTCACAGTTTCAAGCTTGTTAATGTCTTTCAATAGAATCAATATTGATAGGGCTGTTGTAGCAAGTTCGATCAAGATCTTTCTTTCTGACAATTGTTGCAAACTTAAATCACCCTCTTGACCACCTTTGTGAAAGTTCACAACCACCTCCGTCATCTCTTCATACTCAATAACAGCAGAGTCAACCCATTTGCGAAGGCATTTCATAATAAGCGCCCATTCTTCGACACTGAAGTCTTGCCAACAATAAGCCACGGATGCAGCAACTAATTTTGCCAGCGTCAGCTCAGGGACTAGCTCGAGCATCACATCCGTAGTGTCAGATGATAAAAGCTTAGCTTCAGCATCTCGAGCCACCAAAAATTGCCTTCGTAACAGTCTCAGAAGAAGAGAAGTTTCTTGAAGGCTGACCTTTGCACTAGCAGCTGCAGCAATACCAGAACTCACGCCTGGCATCTGTAAAGGAAAACATGCTACAGCAACCTCCAACCAATGTTTTCCTATCAACTCCGTGGATCCTTTTTCAAAGTCAACAAGAGGTGGAAAGCTGAGGGCTTTGTTTAACCAATCACAAACAATACGTTTCAACGACTGAAAGTTTTCGACATCGAACACCCCAAGATCTGAATCACGCATGACTGGCATCAGAATGGATAAAACGAAAGGTAGAACTTTAAGCGCGTCTGCATCTGCTGAGTCAGTTACATTACTCGACTTTGCAACATACTCAAAAAAGAACTTTTCGGCAATTCCTCTTCTCCAAGCAGCTTCACCATTCAACAAGGCTCTCAGTAAGGTTAAAAGGGCCCTTGTGGGTGAGCCAATATCAGGTATCAGGTCACTCTCAACAGGTCCTTCGTGATCAATTGGACCTGAGCTTGTGAAAGATGAGCCAGCTAAGAGGGAACGGAAACAAATGTCTAATAAAAGAGGAATTTTTTCTACTGTTGAATGCCTTGATATGTCGCACAGGAACTCCAGAAGATGTGAAGAAGCAGAGCCCCCTGGCCACTCCCAGGAGCAAAGTAACTCAATGACAAGCCAAACCCTGTAAACTTCATTGGAAGTCATAGAATCGCACCCAGCATACACTCTACTAGGGCTAAGATATTTAGCCAATGTATCAGTGTACGCACAAAAGCGCTGATGCACCTCCTCCTGCACGATACCAAGACATGCTAATGAGAACATTGGATTTCATCAACTAGGAAAGATATATCACTAGTTTTCTGCAATAGGACAAGAAAAAGCAAAACTAATTTACGACTATTCAATTAAAGGTTCTGAAGATGGCAAGCGATTCTATGATGCATTTGCAACCCAGTCAATAAACACCAGTTACATGGATTAATTTATAAAAAATCAAGTACAAACATCCAATATATGTATATATATATATATATATATATATATATATATAGGACACCTACGGGTTGCACTAACCTCAATCAAAGTTGTCTTTTGTGAAGGCTTCACTAATGGAAATGAGTTGTCGTTGGGTGGAGGAACCGCCACCCAATTTGGCCAGAAGAGATTTGGAGCAAGTGTGCAAGATATAGTAGCTTGAATTTCGTCCTCTCCAATACAGAAGTATTCAACAATCTCGCGTACCCAACTGGCGCACAGAGAAGAAGTCAAAACAACATCTGAAGGTTCCTCGCTGACAAGTGAACTCCTCACAATTTCTGTAAGTATCCTTCGTACGCACCCACGGCATTCTGTCCCCAACTTCTGATAAATAGTGGGGGAGCAAATCCTGCGCACGTTCTGTAAGCATTTCAAAAACGAATATCGACTCCGCTCGATCTGGTTTTGAGTCGAAGTCAAGTCCTGATTTAAGGTGTTTTCCTCACCCCCATCAACGCTTGGGTATGCATCCTCTTCCCCTCTCTCATCATCTGACCCTTCAAGCTTGTCTTCAGAGGTTTCTCTCAACAAGGGCTTCAAAAAAGCCCAATATAGGCAGAACATGGTTGAGAGCAGCTGCGGTCCTGTAGGTACCAGTTGCATAGCACCAAGAGACGGCAAAGTTACCTCTACCACTTCAAGTGCTGACATTGCCAGATCAAAAATGTTCACCTTCTCCACATCACCGCTATGAGCCTTGTTCACATTGTAATTAGCCTTACCAGACAAGATCAAAGAGGGTGCAGCTCTTGTCCATGGCATGTCATGCAAATCTAGAACCTCAAGCAAGTATGTTGATAGTTTTTCTAGCAATTGCACAATAGCATCAGGAGAGAGAAGGCTTTGTTTTGGAATCACTGGACTCAAAAAATTCCTGCATCAAAGACACATGCATGAGATGGTGCATGATAGGTTCCACATGGCCACGGTCAAATGAAACAAAGACCAAGAATATGAATATAAGGTCTTAGAAGCAAAATCTGCACTCTTTTTGAAAATATCAAATAACTACGTAGAACAAGACTAAACTCAACCGACCTTAAAAGCCGGACACAAGATGGGTGAATAAGGTTATTGCTGCTTGCAACAACCAGTCCTACGATATCAAGTTTGGGAAGTCTCCATGGCTCGAACGCGTGCGGATCAGAACCATCCTCAGACGCGTTACCTCCAGGCTTCACCAGTCTCACCCATCTGTCACTGAACTTTTCAACTAAGGTGGCCAAGACTTCAACTTGAAACAGATCATTCTCATTAAGCTCACTTTGCTTGTCGCCTGGACGTAACCATGCCGTGACACAGTCTATCGTTGGTTTCCAGTAACTATGAAACTCCTTCACTTCGAAGAAAGACAGTAAGAGTTCTATCTTAGGTTCGATAGGCCTGTTCTCATCTCCAGACAAGCACCATGGGACGACCTCTTGAAGGAATCGCCGCCTGATAGAATCACCAAGGATTTGTTCTTTCATAGCGAATGCGAAAGTTCCATATGATGAAATGAGCTTTCCAAATAACCTCAATGCTTCCGGATGTCCCTGACATGCAAGAACCGCTAGCTTCATCAAGTGCACTAACCAGATCTGTTATCTCTCTTAACTATACTAGAAAATCCATTTCTGTCAAACAATAGCCTTAACCATATACAAGACACCTCCTAAGACTGTAAGCGTCTCACAGTGCAAACACATTTCAGACAAAAATTGTCAATAAACTGACTATAGAGACGATAGTTAGAGAATGTCACAAGATGAAGAAAAGACAGAAACTCACGGAAGATTTTATTGCCGAGAAACCCTTCCCCACAAATGGCTGAACCACATCTAATAAAACCCACGTATTACTTGATTCCTCTTTGTTTGGTATCTTCACATCAAGCACAGAAAAAAATGTTCCAAGGCGAGCCAATCGTGACTCGTTCCCTGAAGAGGTGTCTAAAAGAACGCCCACACAAGAAGATTGAAAACCAGACCAGAATGCATGCAATACACCTTCTTGGCTAAGCGGGATCAAAATGCTGATGATAGTAGCAGCTACTTCATCACAAATTTGTCGAGGCAAAACAGACTTCGAAGTCGGAAACTTAACAACAGCACTTGCGAAATCTTGGTCCTGAGAGGACTCTGCAAAAATTTGACATGAAAGATCCGCATACTGGCACCAGACTATTTTTAACAATACTTCCTTAACTAAAAAATCCTGCAACAATTTATCGCTTGTAGCCTCAGCGTATCTGCAGCAACATAAAATGTCAGTCGATCTGTACAACAATGAAGGAAAGTGCTCAATTATAGTTTTCGCACCTCCGTTCCACAAATGGTGTAAAATCAGAACATTGCGGCAAAAGAAGTGCATGATTAGCACCTACAGTCATTATGAATCTAAGACTGCAAATACAAACGTGTTGAGTATCTACAGATAGGTAGACTACTCATTTGCTATTAATAAAGTCCAGCTTTCCTAATTGCTTGAACAAAGAAGAGTATGGAAAAAGCTTGAGATATTCACCTCTTGGAATTCTTGACAACCCAAACAAAACACTCTTGAAATGTCTTAAAGAGGGATAGTCGATCAGCAATTGATAACGCAGGCACATACACACCTTGCCAGAGGCTGCCAAAGAACTCAAGAAAAAAATCTTGGGGAGGTGCCAAGAATTGCGGAGAAAGAAGCGCCAAAAATGGTAAAATGTAAGGATAGGAAATTTGCTGGGATCCAAAGCAACCATGTCTAAGAAACTCCCAAAATTTGGGGAGAACTGCTTTGCGTATAGAGCTACATCCCCAGGCTTGAGGAATGTTTTTACTGAAAAGCAGGATCATATCCCACATAGACTGATGACAACTTGTTACTTTTTCTCCCAAAGCACCCAGCACAAGTTTCACAAAATTGTCAAGATTCTCTTCATCAGTAAAAACCTGCATGCAGAAACCAAGCTAATCAAAAGAAAAACACAAAAAAAAGAAAAAGCCACAGCTTTTCATATAATTGACTAAAATAAAACACTAGCTGCACACTTTCCTGCAATCTTCATAAGGAAGAACCATACATAAATTTGGTATCACGGGAGCTCAAAAATTTGCGTGCTACCCTTTGTTAGGCAATTTAGAGCACAAGAGCCACAGATGGCAAAATATTAAGATAATAAATACTTGGAAGTACCTCTGGAATATGTTGGAGATAGGTTAGCAAAGTCTGGTATGAAGCCAACCGAACTTGAGAGCTTTTATTCTTTACAAAACTTTGGAAGAATTTATGTTTGAAAAATAGTGACGTAGCAGCTTCTTTTACAGGTTCTCCTGTCCCTGCAGCGGCACTGGCCGCAGAAATACTCTCCACAGCCCCTTCCTTCCAAAGTGAGGATGTAGAACCCACTAACACATCAAGTAATGCAGCCAAAGCAAGTAGAGAGCATGATAATATCTGCACACGAAATTCAAGCTTAAAAACTAGACGCTTTTTCTAAGAGATATAATGCAGAACTCTTACTACTCACTCAAGAAGGTAAAAGGTGGTAATCAAGCATGCAAAGATGTCAAGCCATAGATCCCCCACTTGCCCTACTTAATGCGCCAAAAATAAACAAATGCCCAATTTCAAACGAACATATTCCATCTGAGAACTGGACCGATACTTATTTTAAACATACAAGGTGACACAAAAGTTTAAATAAGAATATTTGTAGACAAGAAAAAACTTGACATAAACTGAAGTAATGCAAATAAAACCACTTTGAGACCTAAAACAGGGGGTCAAGTAACCCACAAGCACTTCAGGATCATAATGCGTCACTTCACAAGTTCAAGGTCTGTGAAAGTTCACGATACTACAGAAAAATATACAACATTCACAGAAAAAAGTAGGTCTCTGAACTGACCCTCTCAAGTTTCTCTGGAACCTCTTCGGGCAAAGTGCCCAATTCTATTAATGCCTGAGGAGTTAACTTCAAGTTCTCGTCCAGGTGGGTCATGATGCCTTTAAAACAATAAATCAAAGCGTCCACCCTCTTCTTCCGATCTGGAAAAGTAACCTGCAACAAAGTGCATAGATAAGAACATGACTATCACAACTTCTTAAACAACCTCCGAACTTAAAAGTAAGTTCTGAAACAGAGTGAAAAATTGCCTAGGATGACAGTTGCAAAGCTGGTTATTCAGATCATTACAGTGCGGCAAATTCTTACCAAAACTTAACTGACGACACAATCTTACGTTGAGAAACGCATTGAATGCCTAACATATAGACTTATCCTCCTGGGATATACTTTTACAAGTTTACAAAAATATGAAAGACAATGCTTTGAATTAATTAATCACGTCGTCAAAGGCCTACAAAAGGATCTCTAGACCTAAAAGTTTGAAACGTTTCAGACGCGAAGAGAAGACAGAATTTAGGGTCGTCATTCCAAACATCAGAAATAAGTCAAGTTCCCATATTACTAAATAATATGATCCAAGTTGAAACTAAAAGCATTTTGCAAAATTGGCAGAGATAAATAACGAGGTGACAATATCCTCGATAGATACAGTCGAATTTGTAGAACCTGTTTCTAACCTGAAAGGATCGTTGAGCAGCTTCTGCGATTTCTCGCGAAGGATCAAATTGAGAAACCCACCAAGCCCCCATCAATGATCGAAGGTGGGGTAATAACCCTTTCCTATTGACAAGAAAAACAAAAAGAAAAAAAATAACAAAAAACAGAGGGTAAACACATGCTTAAAAGAGCATACTTGTAAGTCACAACAAGACCTTATAACTCATTTATCTATTCAATATGCTGGAACTGTTGGATTAAGGTCAAAAAAAAAAAAAAAAAAAAAAAGAAAAAAAAATAGAAAAGTTTGAAATCTTCGATCTGATTATGGCGTGTCAATTTTCGTTCCAAAGCATACAGAAGTCGATAAGAATACATTAGATGAATGAACTTGAATACTGGCTGCTGGTGAACAAAAGGATAAAGGTCAATCAATATGACTAATTTCTTACAATGCCGAACTAAGTACATCCTTTGCCACAAGTTACAAAATATGTTAGCCCAGTTAAACCCAAAGGCGAAAGAAAACGAGGAAACGAACCCCGCATTTGTAGTGAGGTCGGCCATTGCCCCATGGACATTTTCACGCACTTGCCGGTTGTTGTCTTGTACAAGCCTCTTATACTCAAAGACCTGTCCATACAATGAGTCAGATTTGGTGCATAAGTGTTGAGCCACTGCATTTCAAATGGGCATGTTCATTATGCAGAAGGTCTACAACTTTGCTGAAAAGTCATTTATTAAATTACATGCTAAATAAATAAGCCTTGAGGATGCTTAGAGTCATAAGTCAAAAAATGACTTTCCAAAATTGCAGTTCGAGATATAAGTCATAGCAACCAGTCGTAGTCACTATAAGTATAGAAAAGCCACCATGCCAGCTCTTACTAGGGTAGATCGAGTTAAGAACATACCCAACTGGGCAAAATTGCTGACAGTTCATCAACCGAGTGCTCCTTGAATATCGCTCTGAGAGCTACAAGCGCTTTAAGCTGCAGGGTCACGCAACCATTAAAACCTTGAACAAAGCGATTTAAGCTCCAGGCAGATCGCTAAAATATTTTAACTTTGTACAACAGTTAGGAGTGAACATCGTCGACTCACCTTTGTCGTTGGATCCCGTTTAGACAGTCTTTTGAGATGTAGTGCTGCTTCTCCGTCAAGATCCTGAAATAAAAACAAACCTAAAATCAACTACAGAACATGAAAGCAAGGTGTTGCCATGTCAACTAGAAAACGCTTGCATACTACTGAGTTTCCAGAATCAAACATGCGATTGCACAGAGCATATTATGACGTGCTCAAGAAAACTAAGAGAACGTATCAATACAAAGTATGAATGCGTACAAGAAGCACCCAAGGAAGAGGTAAAAAACAAGTCGCAGCAGGAGGCTTGGTATGCAGTACCTGTGAGGTCTCTCTTTCACCTGAAAATGTTGAATCAACTAAAGAGCTCCCCACATAACCTCCAAAACCCACAGGTGCTGCTCTAACTTGAGCAGCCGCAAAGCTGCATACCAGGGCCATTTTGAGTAAAGTTTTTTAAATCAAAAGTAAAAGTTAAACAAAATTTCTATCAACCTCCTGTTTCCAGTAGATAGAATGAATCAAAAATAAGGAATTTTCAAACATCTCCCAAGAGAATAGTGGGGAAACGGCAAGCTACAATACCCTAAGCGTACAAGTAAATTAAAGAACTCTCAAAATTCCTGTAAATCTCAAAGATCGTCCTCAAAGTTGACTCACAGATTTGATCAGAATTTGATGATTCTAGGCAACAAGTTAATGAGAGACTGGAAATGTGCCTTCATACTTGAGATTTTAGTCATGATGACCGACTCTATTCAATAATAAATACTGGAAGCTAACCTCAAATGAATATAAACATCGCAAGCACCATACGTACTAACGTTGTATAAAGGTGAAAGGTGGGACGCACCAATCTTCCAATGGACTAAAGAGCAACACAATTAGCTTAATGGCTCGAATAGATTAAAACCTGCTGCTTGAAGGACGCGATTTATTGCGACTAGAGCCACCTTTTTCCCGCCCCATCTTCACCAGATGAACTGCACCTACTACTCAATCACTAAAGCAAGCCCAGCACATTATTAGAGAAACCAATAATATTACGATGCTTAAATGTACTAAGAAAAAACATGATTATAGTCATGTTGACTTCAAATCTGAGACTTTCAAATTCACGATTGGATAGCAATAACAGTACGATTGTTTAGGTTCGTTGAAATATTTCCCGATCCGGAACTCCCTTTAGAATAAAATAGCCGAAAATCCCATGTCTAAGACTCATAGGTTGCTCAGGTACAGGACCAATAAGCAAGCAGCAGAAAATTCGTTGAAACACTAGCATAAAAGGTAGCAGCGGATCTTCCAAAAACCAAAAAATGTGTTCTTAGAGCCTGGACTGGAGGTACTTGAATCATACTCTGACTATTTGAAAAAATTTCCACAGTTTAGCTAGTGTAATTTAACATATAGGTGCGACGGACCATGTGATTCAATTGAAAGTTAACAAATTTCAAAAGCATGAGATGCTCCCACCAAAGCTTAACGATTTTCAAAACTCAGAGCATGATTCCGCACAATCCAACCCCAAGGCTTTAATTGTGTACACACACAAAACAATTCACGAGGTAAGGCTACAGTTCCCAAATACCAGCTAGAAACCCTAAGAAAACCTTCAGTTGAACTGCACCGCGTTCAATCCGGCAGGCAACAGACCAAATCGCACGCAGCTATTTCTTCAACAACACTTTAAACTTCTCAATAAGTGAACAGCAGCAATCTCAATCACCGAAACAGTGCAGCGAAACAGAAGAGGCCCGGAACACGGAGGACGTCCATTAAATTGACTCAAAAAAAGCCTATTCTGAACCAAAACAAGCAAAAATAAAATAAAATAAAATAAATGAAATCTACGGTAAGCTTGTAAAGAATTCAAACTCACCGAATGCTCAGAATTTGCAATCATGCAAGCGTGACGGCTGTGAATCCGCAGCCGTGTCCATGCAAAGCCGTGTCCATGCGAAGCCGTGTCCACGCGAAGCGTGGTCTGAAGCGAGACGGAGACTGCCGGGAACCCCGAGTGAGTGTAAACTCTTCTCACGTTCCCTTGCGCCGTTCCCAGCCAGGTGGTCACCACGTTCCCCCTCCATTTCGGGAAAATCCTCTCTGGGAAGCAACCAGCATTCTTCACTTTTGTAATTAATGAATATAATTCAATCTCCGCTACCACACAAGAACGAACATATGGAATTAAATATGTATCTTAAATTACATAATTAAAAATATGAATATATATATATATATATGTACATAAGAAATTGTTACATCAATCCACCCTTTGTTAAATCAATCCATCTAAATAAGAATCACAAATGAAGGATTCAATACCTCTTGCAAATTAAGCAAAGATACAAAAGTGGACCCACACAGCAACTCCATCACAACAAACTCCCATACCACACTTACAAAATGAACACACATTTCTCTAATCCATCCTATAATACACCTTCTACCAACAATTTAAAATTGTGAAGGTTTCTATTGCAAGATCCATTTGCACAAGCACACATGTGCTTCAATCAATTCATTTAGCCTTGAGGACAATCTTTTGGACAATCAACTATTGAATTTTTTCAAGTATTATGGTTATTAATACTAGCCTCAAAAGTTTTTTTTGTATATTTTGTTACTGGTGGATGTGAGCATCTCACACATGTGATCAAATTCTTTAAAAATAAAAGTTAGACTACCAAAAGTAGCAAACATGTTTTATAAGATTAATTTAGCAATTAAAAAAGGGCATTAACAAAATGATACTAAGAATTGATATAGTCAACTACCAAAATTTCATCATAGCTTAGCATGCCCTAAATACAATGCTCACATGCAATAGACATTATCCTTATCAACGCACTCTTGTAGTAGAGAGAGTTGCCTCAAGAAAGCATTGAGCCTCTAATTTCCTTTAAATGCTCAAACAAGTTGCAAGATTATAAAACACAAATATAATTTATAGCTTGTCTTTAAGAAGACAATTACATCAAATACATAAGTCTAGGATGCACAAGAGTATCGAAGATGTGACTAGATATCCTAAAATCACTTCTATTCCTATGGAGATTCCTTTTGTATATGTATCACTCAATAACTTCTAATCTAATTGTCTAATTGGATTCAAATTTTTCCACGAGTTAACTTACATCTTTGACTACTTCAATATAAAAAATCAACCATAAATTCATTATAGATCTTTAGATATTACCTAATCTCTAGTAGACGTTAAACATGTCAATTTTTAGGTACCTATGTACTAATTCCTTGATATCTAAAAAATCCAAAGCTAAAATACTATGAATTTCTTATGTGCAACTTTCCAACATAGTCATCTACATTTATAGAAATTTTTAGTCAAAACTTCATCCAAAAACTCAAAATATGGCAAAAACCAAAACCTCTATTAAAAAACAATTTACTTACAAATCCCAATTTTAAACACTAACTTCTAATAATTCTTTTTCTTTTATTCTAAATTAGAATTTACTAATTTTTTAAAATAAAATATAGCTCTTTGAGTTATTTTTTTAAATAAAATATAGCTCTTTGAGTTATTTTTTTAATTTCACTTTTTGATTCCTCAAAGCTTTTCTACAACTCTCTATATGCTTAAAAGAGTAACAATAGATACCAAAATCACATCCTTACTTCAAAAAACCATAATTCTTTTATTAACACTTCAAATTATATATTTTTCTTACTCAAATTCTACTCCAAATTACCAGCTTTTCAAATCCAACCTCCACACTTCAAATAGATTGTCTTCCCTCAAATGGTTTGCCTTGCCTCAAATGAGTTATCCTAAAGTAGTTTCAAATTCCAATATGGTCCCAATTAACATCTCAAAGCCTATTAGATATGACTTCCAACCAATAGAAATGAAGTCTTCTCTTACTTATCTTATCTACCTACATGAGATAGTTTAGGAGTCAAAATACTATACCTTTGATTCAAAGGCCCTTTTAAACTTCTTACTAATAAATCTTATAATTTCTATCTTTAATTACTAAACTTAAACTACAAACTTAAACAAGTTAGATAAGTATTTTATTTTATTATATTTTTAATTACAATCTAACCTCTCATAACATTTCATCTTATTTTTACGTATTATTCTACTTTTCAACACGTTAGCACCTAATGTCACAAACATATACATTTATTCCAATAGTTACTTATATGATTAGATAGAAGTAGGTAAATATAGATTAATTTTATAAAGTCTTCTAGAGTAGCTTCTTAGAAGCTTCATAGACACAATTTTGACTTTAAATATATTTTTAGGATAAAAACTTGGCCAACAACTTAACCACTTGTTGGTAGCTTGTAGAACAAGTTAATTCTATGTAATAGCTTGTAAAACAAGCTAACTATGTGGCGCATACATAGATAATTTACCTTGCAAGTTAAGACATGTGGTTAGTAAAGTCAACATATGTTAGAGGTCCTATAGAATATTGCCACATAGCTCTTAAGTAGAAAGTATATATGGAGGCAAGAATGAAGCCATCTTTACTCTTGTCAATGCCTCTCTAGTGTTTAGTCTTATTTCAAGACTTTCTAATCTTCTTGTTTTTGGCAATAGCCATTCTAGTTTAATATTATATCATCTTTTGAGTGACTTTCTAATTCTCTTCAGTAACACAAGAGTGTATTGAGGATTTTCTTTCTTCAAGATTCATAACTTTAACAGTTTTATAAGAAAATCTTATTTATTATTTTATCTTATTTTAGAAGTAAGTAGATTATCTCACTTCTATTGTTGTATTTTAAAGGTTGTGAACTATTCAACTTTAAAAAAATAATATTATTTTTTAACATTGATTTTTTTCTTAAAAGACAGTGGATAATCCCTCTTTGTAGAAATTTTATATTAGAAGTTGTAAATTACCCTCTTCTAATTTAGCTTTTTGAATTTTTTTGAGTTGTCTATCGAAGAAAAAAGTATGGATACTACTCTCATTAAAAGTAAGAATAGATTTGTAACTATTGTAGATCTTCATGAGCTTGTCAACACTTTAAAAGTCGAAATCTCATGTATTTCCAATGTGAATCATGGAGGTACTATGCCTATGCCTGTGAAATAAGTTTAGAGTTTGGGACAAGAAGTTGTACAATTGAAGGAAGGCAATAGATCAACCTCACAACCAAATCTATGGAGTTTTGTGTCTACAAGTATGACAAAGACAAGGATTATAATGCTTTAGAAGTTTGATAGAACAAGATCAAAATTTTGAAGATTTTTGCAACAAGTCAAGCTCTATCTAAGATTGCATCTTTTCCAATATCCCAATGGATTTATTCAAGTCGGATTCATAGGTGCACATCTATAAAGCAGTGCTCTCTTTTAGTTTGCACCTTTAATAGAAAAAGATGCATAATTCCTTTATGATTTGAATTCATTCTTAAAAGTGTTTATGGCCATATATGGAGAAAGTGATAAAAAGAGAGTAGCAGAGATGAAGCTCTTATCTTTATGGCAAAGATTACGGTCAGCCACCATATATGTTGTTGAATTCCAAAACCTTGCTTGCGATATGGACTAGAATGATAAAACCCTTATCAATCAATTTTGATATAGATTGAAGGATAATATCAAAGACTTGTTACTAAGAATATCAAAAATAGAATCTTTGGAACAATTTATTGTTGAAGCCATTGCATGTGACAATCAATTATTTAAAAAACATCAAGAACAAAGATATGGATGAAGAGGAATAAATCAAATAATGACGATAGCTCCTAAGTTTTCAAAAACTTATTTATCAGGGCTAAAACCAATGCAAATTGATAGAATATATTTTAAATCCCTCACAAAGTAAGAATAGAGTTGATGATATCAAAAAGGCTTATGCTTATATTATGGAGAAGCTAAACATATTGCTCAACATTATCCAAAGAAATAACGCAATCACAAAATGAGAAGCATGATTGCCAAAGAAGACAATGTGTCTAAAAACGAATTGCTCTAATTACAATAAGGACCATGCAGCTGGAATCATCTACAACATCTAGTAAAGGTCCTATTTTCTTCTTTGATCCCTTATCTCATTTTACAATAGAAGTCTATTTAGGACTAAAAAATCACAAAGTCTTAGCCTTGTTGGATTCAAGAGCCTCAGCCTATTTTATAAATGAAGACTTTGTCAAAAAATATGATATATCCTTAGTTAAGAAAATCAAACCTATGCATGTAGAAGTAGTAGATGGACATTCATTATCTTCTAGAGATGTTACACATGAAACTATTCTTGTAGAAGTAGCAACTAGTGGTCATAATAGTTTAGTAATATTTAATGTGATTAAATCTCCTTTTAATTCAATTATTTTAGAATTATTGAGGTTAAAAAGATAGACTAGATTTCTTGTAATCTTGATTTTTCTCATAGCTTAGCCTAAGGTCTTGATAGGCAAGTAGAAATCCATAAGTCTAGTACATCGAAATCCTTATTGGTAAGTGCGAGAGCTTTCATGTATGCCTAAAATTAAGGGCCATCTTTTGCTATAAATGCCACATCTGTTGCTGATAGTGAGAAGATATTAAGTAATATTCCTAGTCGGTATCAAGATTTCCAAGACGTTTTTTAAAAAAAGAATGCAAATTTTCTTTTGAAGCATCGTCCTTATGATTGTACCATTGATCTTCAAGAAAGAATTCAACCACCATTTGGACCAATATATAGCCTATTACAAAATGAGTTGAATGCACTCAAAGAGTACATTGATGAGAACTTGGCTAAAAACTTTATATGCCATTCTAAATTTCTAACCGGTGCTCCTATCTTATTTATGAAGAAAATAGATAGATCTTTGCGGATGTATGTAGATTATTAAAGACTTAACAAGATCACCTTCAAGAATAGATATC